TGCTAGTTGTCCAATCACCATCCTCCTTGATGAGATAGCTAATATTGCTGGGACTCATAGATAGTATTTTGCGCAGTCTGCTGGCCTCCGAAGTACTTTCTATCTTCTGACAGAAGTTCCTCCATGAGGAGCGCTTAGCGTATCTTATTGCATACTTAAATCGGCGTTGCCAGTCTTTAAATTCACTCCAAGAGTTGGATCTTTTAGCTTCATTAAATTTTGATCTGCATTCCCATCTGAGGGTTGCAATTTCAGTGGACCGCCATGGAGGTTTTGGTTTCCTACTTGTTGCCCTGATTGGGCAGGCTAATTTTGCTGCGCGATGAAATGCTTTAGTTATATCGTCTACGACATTATCAAGTTAATGTTCCGAGTTTATTTGATTTGTGAGGCCGGAAATATTATTAGAAAATATTGTTTCAAATTTTTTCCAATTTGTTTTTCTGCGGTTTAAGACCGCTTGTTGTTTTCTTACTGGTACGTATAGGTTATAAACGACGTACATGTGATCCCAAAAGGAGTTGTGTTTTGAGACTCTCCAGTCATTCAAGAGTTCTGCCCCCTGCTCATTGACACATGTAATGTCAAGGACCTCCCTTCTAACAGACGTCACAAAGCACATTAGGTCAAATGATTCATTTGGCTGTGCGAAAGTCCAATTTCGTAAAGGCAGTTTTACATTATTTTTTGTTGCCATTCTGTAGGAAATACTCCAAAATAACAGAAACTTCACTTAGTATTTGTAAAATAAAAAACACCGTTAGACAGCAATAAACCAAAGTTACACTTTCAAAACTTTATTGATACGATGCTTGCGCAACCGGTTTATTTTGTAAGTTTCAAGTGCATTTTTGTTGTAAAGTTCGAGCAATTAAGGGAAAATTTTGAATGGAAAACAACACTATAAGTGAGAACCTATGTACCAATTTAAAAAAGTGACTTTTTATCATTTGTTTGCAAAAAAAAACTGACTTATATGCATAACCTCAAAACTTTTCTGATCTATTTACATTTATGATTTTATGTAAGCTTTTACAATTTTGTTAATTTTCGGCAAACAAAATGGAAACGGAAATGGATAAATTAAGATATAATGAGTTCATTTTGTTTTACTTTAGCCGCCGTTTTTAGCTGTTTTCAAGAAAAACGGTTTTTTCTGGGCTATCAGCTATCACAAAAGGCGAGTTGTTTGAAGAAAAGACTTTTTCAGTTTAATGAAACTCGAACTCGAAACGCGTCTTTTTTGCAATTATTTATCAAAGAAAGATGAAAATTATGGAAAAAATTTGGAAAGGATGTTAAAATACTTAGATCTGAAAACATAGCGTTTCTTGCTGATGAAGTTCTTTTCGAAATCAAAAAACCAACTGTGTCGACCATCAGCCGGATTAACTTTCGCTATCGCTAAAGTGCTAAAATACTTAGGAAAGGTAAAATTTTTCCGAATTTTTAGCTATTTCCAAAAATATCTCCTAATTTTTTTGGAGATAAATAATCATTTTTAATGGTGATAAATAGTGAAAATAGAAGTATGTGATAGCAAAAAAAAATAGCAGCCTCATTTCATTTCATCTTCTGTAGCGTAGCCGTGGCTATGTTACAAATACACTTGCGCCGATTCGCAAAGACCATTGATGAGCAGTAGCGCGGGCCGAAAATCCGCTTTTATAGAATTTTGATTGGTAATAGCAAAAATATGGTTCATTATGCTCTAAAAAATATCTGTATGAAATGCGAAAATTTTTGGTCAATAGCCTAGTTCATCAAAGTTCAAGTACTAAAAAAAATTTTTCTTAGCTAACTTCGATTCTCTACAAAAAAGGTCCATATACCAAATTATGTAGGACTAATACTTTAGAAGATTATTGCAATTTAATAAAAAAATGTATTACTTAATTTATTTATTATTATTTATTTTTTGGCCATATTGAACTTTGATCAACTTGGGCGAGCCTAAGATACTGACCAGAAATTGTCATATATAAAAGCGGATTTTCGGCCCACGAAATTTTTTACTCAAAGTGAATAGAGCTTTGAACATTCTTTTCACAAATTAGTTTCAAAAGCATTCGTTTTTTTTTCAGGAAGTTACCAGCGATTTTTGGTAAATGTGTCACAAAGCACATTTGTATTCTGAATATAAATAATATAATGAAGTATTTTATGAAGACTAACTGCTGTAGGAATCTCTCCTCAAGACATATCTGCGAGACATGGAGTAAATATTTTTTTTTTTTAATTTAGGAATTTCGATAATGACGTAATTAATCGCTAGAAGAAACCATGTATGTGCATGTGACCATACTTATTTTATTATGTGGCTTATTTTAAGGGGGAAGGGGTTGAGTATGGTAAGAAAATTACTTGTGTCAAAACCAAGCTAATTGGACAATGTTTTTATGAACTACCTAAACACATATACTCATTATTTGAACATTCAAAAAAGCAGAAAAGTATATTTTTTTGCGAAAGCCAAGTCATGTTTTCACATTTTATTTACTGCATTTACACTTTTTTAATGTTTGCCATCTTTTTACATTAAAATAATGCAATATTTTAGCTGCTATTAATTTCGCACACAAAAAGTAATCATTTGACCTAATGTGCAAAGGTAGGGGTATCACCTACGTTGCTAACCTGTAAGTTATTGCACATAATGAATTCGAATATCGACTCACCGCGTTCATTTGTATCTGAGCTGCCCCATATGTGATGATGGGCATTCGCGTCCGCTCCTATGACCATCGGAGTGCCGCGTCTAGAGGCCTCCATTACCGCGCTCCTTAAGGATTGTGGTGGAGATAATGTGTCTGCGTCGTGGGCCATATATGTGGAAGCCAGCCAAATAGACATTCCGCCTGATTCCACTGCTATGATGACGTTGTCCGCATCGCTAAACTGTATCAAGAGAAATGCATTAATAAACTTTTTTATCAATATGCACGACCTGGGTTTACCTTTGTCAGTTACATAGAACAGCTTGTATCCCTTCATATTCAATCCACAAACCCGATCTTTTATGACCCAAGGCTCCTGGATGAGTGCGATCTCCTCTTACCTTTCGGCGAGACGGAGGAGAAGTGCGGCTGAGGCCGCCTTGCAGTGGTGGAGATTAATCTGAACTATCCCCACCATCAGTTTCCCGTGCTGCTACTGGACAGCCAACCACAGTCCTGTTGACGTCCTCTTCGTCAGAAAGGGGGAGGATATCCTCCCCTTCTCCTTCCACCATGGTGTCGGAAAAGTCGGAGTGGTCCCCCGCCCCCTCTTCTAGAGTCACCCTCTCGAAGAGTTCGCCGACCATTCCGGAGGTGGATGCCACTTCGTCGTCAGTAGCACTTTCCACTGCGCTCGCTTCGTCGGTAGGGTGTTGTTTCCCTGACACGTCCTGCCGATAAACATGGAGGTTCAAGGCTTGGAAGCCATAATTTATCCTCCAGTTTTGGTTGGCTAGCGGTTCTACTGATTCCTCGTTGAGGACTATTACCGCTAACCTTCGCTTGCCATCGATATCGCCTATCTTTGCTACCTTCCAGTCGTGGGTGGGTAGCTCGGGGTTGCCCATACGTATCCATTCCAGCACTTCCTGTGGGTCGGTGAGGAAGTCTGGAATCCAGGCCCTGGATCTGGGCCGATTGGGAATGTCTTCCCGCTTTATCGCCTCAAGGCGTGCACCCGGCCAGACCTCGCATACGCGACTGATGGCCAGGGTGTATAGGTCGACGGATCTCTGGTCCGCGCACCTTGTCAATTTGACGCGGTTTTGGAACCAACCGGCGTCCGCACAACTGGGGGGTGGTCCTGGGTTTTCCCCTAGAACCTCCTTATAGACGGCCCAGAGTCGCCTGTTGACCAGGTCCCAGTTTTGTGGTGATATTGCACCATCAAGTGAGCTGCGGTCTATCACAGCCCTGGTAAATGTGTCCTTCGCCGCGTCCGCGAAGGATCTTTTCTGCAGCTCGTCCGCTGTTAAAAAGGCGGATACCCTTGTTCTCTTGGGTTCCGAGCTTAGCTCCCTAGAGGACTTCCGCTTGCCTTGAGCAGACTCTTGTTTGGCTTTCGCCTGGTGTTCAGCCATAAACTTTTCGGCCCAATTCCTTGAGTCCAGCTCTTCTCCGGTCAGTTCTTCTGGCTTCTTATCGCTCAGTCTCTCCAGGATTCTGAGGGCTGACCGTCTGGTACGATAGTACCTTTCTGATGCACTAATGTGCTTCTGGGGATGGCTACTGCCCATCGCTACATTAGTGCCAGAATGGCGCACCTCAGAGGCCGCTGGCTTAGCCATGCGGTCTGATGTCGCCGACGCCGCTTTAGGGATTGCACCTGTCGATGTTCCCTTGCCTCCTGGAGTGGCGGGGACGGCAGCAGGGCTAGCTTGTCTTGTGACAGGGCTGCCCTTGCCTCCCGAAGACCTATCTGCGAGGGTGGGTCTGCTACCAGCACCGGACGGATTAACATCCTCGCTAGCTTGTCTAGGGACATGGCTAGACCGGTTGCCGGAAGGGGGCCTCGATGCCGTTGAGGCAGTCCCAGAGGGGCAGAGCGTATGCTCAGCCCTGGCTTGGCCACAGACTTTCCACCGCTGGCTTGCTTGGTCTTGTCCGAGGACAGACCGGACCTTCCTGACTGGGTGGGTCTACTTTTTTTT